AGTAGCTAGATGTTGCGACTTGGACACCTCACCTCTCCAAGATACCTTGAAGGACCTATCTGAGAAGTAAGACTCAAACCACTGGAGTGCAGTTCCTCAGATGCCCTTTGCCAATAGGGTTGACAGGAGGATCTGGTGGTTAACTGTGTCAAAACCAGCAGATAGATCCAGCAAGATAAGTATTGATGATTTGGAAGTCGCTGTCAAGGCAGTCTCGGTTGAATGTCCACGTCTGAAACCAGACTGGTTGCTGTCCAGGAGGTTTTTCTGTGTGAGAAAGGCAGAAACTTGGTTGAAGACAACTCATTTAAGTATTTTTGTAATGAAAGGAATATGTCCGCAGTTACAATGAATTTACATCCTAAAATCTAATCCTGTCATTAATGACTTTTAATCAAAATTTGGTCCGCTTGTATATTTTGTACATTCCCACAATGAGAGAAAACGCAGACTTTGCATTTTTGCTTTTCCTGCTCACCTTCTGATTTCTGTTAGACATACGACATTGTCATTTTGACTGCTGAGGTCTGCATTTGTTGAGGATATGATCACAAGTGAGCTCAGAGCTCAGCCTCGGGTCAGAACAGAGAACATGAAGAGCTTTGAGTTTCCAACACAGATGAGACTGTCTCACACTCGCATCCTTCAGTTAGACGGCCATCACCAGTTCCTTTTTAACCACGGTACTCCTTCCGCTATTAGAGGCTTCAAGCGATATGTCCTCAGATGTCCGACAGACGGGCCTACGCACATTTCTCTCCAAACGCTCATGAATAAAACAAGCTTCATCAGGCATAGTCTCATGTGGACATGATAAAAACTCTCAGACTGTTTTGTTTCTGCAACCAAATCTCCAGTATTTACTCTGCAAATTAAAGAAATCATCTTGAATTATTCTCAGAAAGATGCCGTCGGAACTTCAGGCGAAGTGCAGAAATGAGCCCACAGTAGTGTGGAAAAGCGTCTGGTGGAATATGCGGAAATTGAATATTTGATCAGCGCTCAGGGTTTGATTGTGATGTTTGCGCGCTCTCTTCCCTCTCCGGGGCCCGATTCAAAACAACACCACGGTATACACATGTAATTAATTAATTACTCTTGGTGATGGTGGTTTTCATATCTTCATCGTGCCTGTCTTCTCTTAAAAACGTGCGTGTTTTTGTCAGTGGCTGGAGAAGGGAAGAAGCAGGGCCTGGTCCGACCGCAGACATCTAATTATAGAGGCATTGATCTCTCACATCCAAAATAGAAATCCAGGCTTTTTTATGAATAATTGATCAAATTGATATGATAGCTCCCTTTCTAATTGTTTAGTTGTTAATATTTCATGGATATCATTTAAGTTTTACTCGAATGTGACACTGTTTGGTAAATCTCTATTTAAGAAAAGTGCTTATCTGTTTTATTTTGCTCTTTGTTGTTCATACTCAATGTACTGCTTTGACGAGCCACAGTGAAATCGGCTGTCGTTTCTCTCTGTGATTGTAAATAACTGCTAAATAACCTGACCGTTCTTTAAATTCCGCCAAAGTCTAATTTCCTTGATGCAAATGGAGTAGTTTTAATTGTGATGCTCACACAGGTTAGTTGTCATTAAATACTGTATAAGCACTCACACTTTTATCTGTATTTATTTTACAGACGTGTGTGAGTGTGTAGGTTGCTGGACTAAAGCCACAGCTCTGTGTATGTGTGTGTGTGTGTGTGTGTGTGTGTGTGAATGTGAGTGTAAAGTGAATTCCTGATTCAAAGGGACATTTTTCCAATTGTGGGGTGCTACAGCAAATATCATGTTTGTCGTTTGGCAAGCGGCTGATTTATCACATTTCCCCGAGCTCTGACATTCAGATTGCTTTTGATTGACGTGGACGCTCAGGACACACACACGCTTATTTACAGATATTCATATTCTGAGCGTGTTGAGTTTGTGTAAGTGTGGGTGTTCATATACGCCCGCCTGATTATTTGACTCCACACCAGTTCGCATTAAAAGAGACTACAGTAGTTTGTTTTTTTCCCTTTAGTTTTCACTCTTTCTTTCGCTTACTTTTGTCTCTCTCACACACACACACACACACACACACACACACACACACTGATTAAAGCGCAGTGATGTTGAGGTGCATGAGTGCACTAGATAAACAAGATCTCTCCCAAGGCTGTTCTAACATCCATCCGTTTCACTGAAAACTGTGAAATACGCTTGTTAAAGAACAGTGTGTGCACTTTCTGAAATACTTGCTTACATAATTCTATAAATATTACATATATTTCAATTAAAAATATATACATATATATATGTGTGCATACATGCATTGTGACATATGCATACAATTCAGCATGACAAAAAAAAAATAATGTAGTGTTTTGTCAGGCTGCACAAGTTGCTTGTCAGTGAGAAAGCTAGTCTTCTGATATCAGCTGAGCTACTGTCACATACTACAAATACTACAACTTAAAGTAGATAAATGGTGCATTTATCTGTCAGTCCCTCAGTTTCTTCCTCAGAAACACACACACACACGAACAGAGAACCTGTGATGCTGTACACACAATTCTAAAGTCCTTTTAACTCGTTTCTGACCAGTATTCATTGCGTAGTTTAAATTGCAGCTGTATTTAGTTGAAACTGTAAGATGGTGATTAGTGTTGATTGGATTGAGCAGAGCAGATTTCTCAGGAGAGAGGCGCAGGTACACAGCTACGGGTGCTTTTGCTGCTCCTCCGTGACCTTCTCTCCTGCACTGCAGCGCTGTAAGAGATTACGGCCGGAGTAATTAATCACAGAGGATTATTACGACTGTTGTGTGCTTTTATTGAGAGGCCTGAGGCTGCAGATGAGGATTCTGCACGGGTTTGGGATCGTTTGGTTTAAGGGTTTGTTTTAAGGAGGGAGACAATGCGAGTCTTGTGCGTCCTTGGAGTGTTCTTGTCTTTTATCGATGTGAAATCCCTCTCTCGCATGCTGCGGCGTTGTGTGTGATACTGTATCGTTCCTTTGCTGTATGATTTCTGGATGTGTATGTGAACCATTGTGCAGAATTTGTGGTACCCCAATAAAAAATTTTATTTAAAAAAATCAATTAAATATTCATGTATTAGATATTTCATAAAGATGTTATGATCCACTTAAACCCAAATCATTACTTGAAATAATAAAAAGCCAAATATATGAGTACTTTCTGTTATGAAGTGGCTGTTCTTGACCTTAACCCCTAATTTTCAACTAAAAATAATTTATTTATTTTTTGTATTTTAGTTTTTTAAGATCTGTTTTGTAATAATGATTTTAAAAGAAATAAGAAAAGAAAATGCTGTCTCACACTTTTATTTATTGGCAGAGCTTTATTTTAGCTCTATCTATTTTTTTTTGACCAGAAAGTGAGATGGCATCATGCATTTATGATTAGATCCCATCATTTTGAAGTACAGTAAATGTGCTCCAGAAAGTGGAAAATCCAGTGTATAGCTATTGAGCTGTCAATATTTTATGCAATTAAATAGACATTTTGCCAGGCATGTGCTGGCTAATTTTTTTTTTTCTTGTTTTTTTTTTGGACCTTAAAAACGTGACTTTATCGAACAGTCACTACTGAAGCAATCACTTCACTACCAAAAATGTATTATAAGTTTTAGTCGTGATGTGATTATTTCAGTACTGACTAAATTTAAATAAATAAACATAATCAAAGGATCAGGAAAGACAAAAGAAAATCAGGCAAGACAAACTGTTACAATTTAAGCGTACTGTAAATATACTGAAAAGTGAGCAGGTGTACTCAGATTTTTGAATAGTACCGTTTATTTTGCCGTTTTAAAATTATGGTGATTTCTACTTTTGTGATGTGTTTGTCCTTCTGAAATACAATAATGGTAGGAATAACTGATATGTCTTTAATATATTTACTTTTTCTTTTTAGATTGTCATTTTACAGCCTTTCCTGTGAAAATATTTTAGAAAAATCTGTAAAAACTAGTGCTGTCAAACGATTAATCGCGATTAATTGCATCCAAAATAAACGTTTTTGTTTACGTACTATATGTATGTGTGCTGTGTTTATTTATTATGTATATATATAAATGCACACACATACAGTATATATTTTGAAAATATTTACATGTATATACATTTATATATTTATATTATTATAGTTTGTTTTATATATAAATATATTTTATATATAAACATAGCATATTTTTCTTAAATATATACATGCATGTGTGTGTATTTATATATACATAATAAATAAACACAGTACACACACATATAGTATGTAAACAAACAAAAAAATTTATTTTGGATGCGATTAATTGCGATTAATCGTTTGACAGCACTAGTAAAAACATATTTACAGGGTGGCTGAAAATAATAGATAAATAGATAGACAATAGATAAATATAATCCTGTGCATAGTGAACACAATTGTGCATGTATGTTTTGTTAGTGACAAATAGTGGAAAAGGGAACATATAGCAGTATGAAAACTGAGTGTTATTTTACTACAGCACTATGATTCAAGTGTGTTTGTATCGTTTACTCCACGTTTTCCTGCACTGAAGTTCTCAATCGCACTCCTTCCTTTGAATGCAAACTTTGCCAAACAAACCTGCACAAATCAACAGCATCGCAGCCCGCAGCAGCTCATCTGTCCTGCTTTAGCGTGGCTTCAGTTCGACACTCCCGGACGGATTTCACAGGCGCGCGCTTGATTCAATATCCTATCTCACATGTCCGCTTAATGTCATTTCGGGAGCCGGTAACCTCCTTCAGTCGGCGGTGTTATATCAATGAATTGCTGCTGTGTAAAGAGGGACAGAAAGCGGGTGAAGGAGATCTGATTCTGCGTGTGGCTCTACGGTTGCGGATAAACCTGATAAAGCAGCAGCAGCGCTTGATTCAATCTAAATGGCGGGCCCCTCTGAGCCCCCGTGTTCAACGCACCAGCACTCCATCAATCACTGATAATGGGCCCCGGCCATTTCTCTCCCATGTTTGCCTTATTGCATCGGATTCTAACGAGCTATCGCTGCTAATCAGCCCACTGGATGAAGGAGGCGGATGGATTTGTTTCTGTGTGATCATTTCAATGAAACATAGTCCTGCATGCCTACATGACTCTAGGGGCCCCGAGCTGCAATTACACATATAATCACAATTGAATTTCAGCCGAGGCTCCATTATCCATCCTGCCAACCAAACTGGAATTAAGTGCAGATGAAGTGAAAGTCGGATGGCGGCGCGTTATCTAATGCTGGGAAGAAGCATCATCAGCTTCGGCGAGTAATGTACAGACGGATGACAAAGGAAAATCTGGGGATCTGTTGAAAGCCGTTCACACCGAGAATGATAATTGTGCTGATTACTATATCAGCATCCACACCAGCGAATGATAACGCTCTGTTTATTGTAAGCACACACTGAAATGATGTCGTCTGCAGCTTTAAATGCGGGTGGATTCTGATTGGCTGTCAAGGATTTTAATGTTCATTCGTTCAAAAATAAAAAAAAGTTCTGAAAGTGATTCCAACAGTGTCATTAAATAAATATAAATATCAATGAATCAATCAATGGGGCTGCACATCTGATCAAAATAAGATAGAAATTATCATATCAAAGGTCGTAATCTAATAAAATAAGTAAAGTTTTTTTGCGCTGCTCTGTGCATGTGCAGGTTTTATGCAAAGTTTCAGCATCTCAAAGTGCGTCGGTTCACAGTAAATGCTGCTTTTCACAAACTCCATCACTTATGTGCCGTTTGGGAACATGCATTTTTGGTGCGCTTGGTTCACCTTGCTTCACATTTTCCAACATATCTGTCGACCGAAGTTTACAGAATTGCATCAGTATTCTGCCAAAATAAAAGCTTGAGGGTTTTAACATTTGAAAATGAAGAATTTAAGATAACGTTATTTTTTTATAATTATGAAATCTTCATTTTTAAAGACTCTGCAAGTTGGCTTCAGCAGCAGCAATATGAGATGTCACCATATATAACAAAATAATTGCATTATATTTTTTTGGCCATGTTGTGTGCAGCCTTGTATATAAATAATTGTAAAAATGAAAACAAAGTAAAACATTTACTGAAAAAATAAATATTTTACATGCATGTCACTTGACCATTAACCAACCTCAGAGAGCTGTTAAATTATATAGAAATATTAACACAGAGTGAATATTTAGTGTGGGCACTAAATATTAAAGTGTGGGCATCCGTGCCTGAGAGGGAAGGGTCACTGCAAATCAATGCAACATTGTTCTGGCTGTTCACCTTTTTCTGCAATAAAACCTTTCTGTTCTAATAGCAATGTTCAATGCTATATGAGATGATAATGCACCCATCCACAGAGCACGAGGGGTTACTGAATGGTTAGATGAGTATGAAAACGATGTGTATGATGTGTATTCAACCCGATTAAACCCCTAAGGAAGATTTTGGGCCAAAGTGTTAGACACTGCATGTTGGCCTTTCCTTGAAATGTTTACCCAGTTATGTCTTTAATAAGTCACACTGACTGCAATACCATCACAGGAGTATTAGAGGAAAATTCACACACAGAGCAAAGTGTGAAAGTGTCAAGTGAGCACTATTTCCATTCACTGTCTGTTTGTGCTGGCGTGTAGAGTCAAACCACACCATTGAAAAGGTCATTTACTGCTTTTGTTGATGAGCGGAGAGACAAACTGAGCTTGGAGAAGAGTAAAATATTCCTGCTGAAAAGACTTGTGGAGCGCTATTGTGAAAGAGAGTTCATTTGAAGTGATTTGTTAAAATGGTTGTTGTTATTATTTCTCATGAAATTGGTAGACAGAAACAGAGGGTTGTTAGAGTTCATCATCATGCCTTTTTCTAATGTCCACTCAAACGATCACATTATCCACTTGAATTTGGATTAAACACGGCAAACTGTACAATCTGCTGCTCTTAATGACCGTGATTACCCTCTCCTTTCACTTGAAAGTTGAAACTCGTAGAAGGTAATGTTATGAGGGACTCAATTTTGCATGACTCCTCTCATCAGCGAGTGAAACAGCAATAAAGGCAAATTGCTCCTGGGAGACACGAACGCTTTAGAATAAATTACGTGCGGGAACAGAGGTGTAATTAATTTACAGGCTGTATTGATAGTCCCCCTTCACTGCTCACTATATGTCTTCATCTCGGCTAACGTCTTCATTATTTGGAGGGCAGGAGAGAAGCGAGTCAACAGACTAAATGAATTGCCATAAGACTTGTACACAAACTGTTTCCACCGCGTAAGGATTTCTCTCAGGCTTTTAATTAGCACGCTGAAAAATTTTTTGATAAGTATGTGCTTAAGATGTGCAAACTGGGAGAAGTGTACATATGCAGAGAGACATTAAAGCATAGAAGACTTCTTAATCGTATATTAAGTGGGCTGTTTATAACTTATTACTAATATTGCATTGTGCTTTTTTCTTATTACAGCTAAAACCGATGAAGCACTGAAAGCAAAGGAGAGTATGAAAGAAGCCAAGACAAAGGAGGAAGGTGAGCCTAACTTTAAGATTTTTAACCTGCAGCTAACAGAAGAAACGTATAGAAGCCTGTTTCCACCAAGGAATTAAAAAAAAATAAAAAAAGGTAAAAACACAATTCTCACAATTCAGGGTTTTTCCTTGTAATTCTGAAACGTTCTGAATTTTCTATTGACAATTCTGAGTTTATATATTGCAATTCTGAGAAAACTAGTCAGAATTGTGAGATATAAACTCTTTTTATAGCTTGAAGAAAAAACTAAAGTTTGAACTGTTAGCTTAAAAAGTCACAAATTGCCATTTTTACATGTTTATCCTGTGGAGGAAACAAGCTTCCATAATAAAATTATACAGAATAATATAAGGCAATTATTTATAGCGTTCGTTTTTTATTTGCTTATTTGTTTATTCATTCTCATTGTGTTATAAGTGTGATCATATTTACCATCGTTTGACTGGATTTTGCCCACAATCACAAATTTCACACGAGGGTGAAAGATTTCCCTACACAGATTTCGCAAAAGGTCCAATGTCTATTGTTGATAATACAAATACAATTTTGCCAGACAGCAGTAAATGTGAACACATCTGCAAATCATATGCAAATCAGTATATTAGAATGATTTCTGAAGATCATGTGACACTGAAGACTGGAGTAATGATGCTGAAAATACAGCTGCGCATCACAGAAATAAATTACATTTTAACACATATTCACATAGAAAACAGCTGTTTTTCATTTTTAATAATATTTCACAATATTACTGTTTTTACTGTATTTTTTATCAAATTTATGCAGCCTTGGTGAGCTAATAGAATCATTTAAAAATCATGATGTTTCCAGATTTTGATGAGTATTGTATATGTTCCATGCAACCCAAGTTAATTATTGGAATGTGCTTGATTTATTTATTGTTTTACACTTTGCAGCTGACAATTTTTTAAAACGCTTTTCAAAAGCAGTTTTGTGGTGTGAATGGGCCTTATGTTTGTGACTGTCATATTCCCATGACATTTCCCATTAAACATTTGACATGCGCTGCTTGTGAAGCAATTAAGTCAAATTAATGAGGACATTTCTGCATGATATTGGCATCACTCTTAAAATGCGTTGATCTTGAGTGATAATTAAACGGGTTGCTTACGCATTCTTCCTGCCTTAGTGCTGGAAGGCTCTTAACACCACCTCACCAATGTACAAAAATAGTTACAATTACAGTCTTTTGGAAGTGTCTTTTGCCACCGAAAACTCAATCTCAGTCCTCCTGATCTGGAAGTGACAGGGTGAGCAGGTTTTGGTCTGGATTTAATCTCCACTCGCTCATCTGGCCACCGTTCTTCATGATGAACCGGCTCTGCTCACACATCCCTCACGAGACTTCAGCTTCACAACAATGAACAAAAAGAGATGGAGAAAACATAGTGCATACTGCTGGACAGCTGAGATTTGTGACTTTATGTGGCCCTGGAGCACAAAAGCAGTCTTCAGTCGCTGGGGTATATTTGTAGCAATAGCCAACAATACATTGTATGGGTCAAAATTATACATTTTTCTTTTATGCCAAAAATCATTAGGATATTAAGTAAAGATCATGTTCCATGAAGATATTTTGTAAATTTCCTACCGTAAATATATCAAAACTTAATTTTTCATTAGTAATACGCATTGCTAAGAACTTCATTTGAACAATTTTAAAGATGATTTTCTCAGTATTTAGATTTTTTTGCACCCTCAGATTCCAGATTTTCAATTATTGAAATTGATTTGCGATGGCGATTCATTTAAAAAAAAAAAAATCTACATTATATGATATGCTGATTAATGAATTAATAGCAAATGAATCGCACATCAGTTTGGGCTGAGAAATTACCTCCTAAAAGATAAAGTCATTATTGCTTTAAATGAGAAAAGAATTGAATAGGCAAATAGTACAAAAAGTAGCTTTAGAAAGAAATATTTGGATTCAACAAAAATATTTCTTACACATTCACTTTTAAGGCTACAATGTGGCCATAAAATGCATTTACAGTCTAATTACAATTGCATAAATAATTCTGAGAGATTAATGGCTTTTAAATTGGCATTAATTGGTTTAAAAATGAATATTGAAATATGAAATGGTTTTAAAAAAAATGAAATTATACTTTAAATATTAAACTAAATCTGCCAGTTGGTGGCGGTAAGTCACTGTCTTAATATGAGTTGTTGAATCATTCATTCAACCAATTTATTCAAACAGCTGATTCATTCAGAAACAAAGAAAGTGACTCTTTATGAATCAGTCACTGAATCACTGACTCACTTGATTCATTAAAAAATGTTGATTCGTTCAGTAATGAAACACCGCACAACAGTTCTTCTTTGGCTTTGATTGGAACCATTTTCTTTTGCCAAATTGAGCAAAAACGGATTTCTTTATTGAACTGTTGTATAAAATCAATATCACGTTAGAAATCGTGCAGGTTTTGGGGAAAAGCAATACTGTTGCTCGTGTGACATTGTTAAACTATATCATTCATATGATAGAAATATAAGACAAAAACTCATACAGGGGCATGTTTTTCCTCATATCTTGAATTTTAGGCCATATAACAGCATTCCCATAGACTACATCAAAAGTCTGAAGTATCATGTTCAACAGCAATGCAATGCAATATAACGTGACATACAACTTTAACAATTATTATTTTTCATAGTTAATCACCGTCTTTTGTTCCGTTTAATTATCTTATACAGTATTTTTTTTCTCAGATTCAAATCAGTGTTGAATATCTTTCAGTCCGTCACTGCCTTGCACTTCAGTCTATAACTGTTTTCTCTGACGCAGACCTGCATTCTGTCCGTATTCATGCAGATCATATATTTTAATGAGCCGTTTAACCCGTATCATTAGAGCAGCTTGCTCTTTCACCATGGAAAAGCGGAAGACTTTTTCTTAATTATGCTGTGTCGTGCGGGTCACCTTTACAGGTGTGTACCTCTCTGTGTGTGACCGTATTAGAGAATGATACCACCATTAAACATTTAGATGGAATTTAACGCCCCTACACACACACAGACTGCCCCCTGTATCCATTAATTTCTAATCTCAGTTTAACAAGCTGTGTTGTCATTCACAAGAGCTGTCTGCCAGAGTGCTGAACAAACCTGTGTGTGCATGAGAGAAAATCAGACAGTCAATAGGACAGAGGACGATCAGTGACCAACAGAGAGCTGCGTTTAATCAGATACATTTGCTGAATTTTATTGAATCTCCTCTGTAAACTTAATTAGAGGCTTGATTTATTATGGAATGTCTGGTAAGTGGTGCATAAATACGATAATTATTGCTTCATTAGTTTTGTTTTAGGTGGAAGTTGCGTGGAATTGGTTTGTTAATTTAGACTTTCCCATTTGCCAAGATTTAAATGATGTGAATTTTTTGTGTGTATAGTAAAAGGACATATGCATATTAGTACCTTTAGTATTACCTTTAAATATTTGTGAATAACTCCCTCAGAGAAGGAAATATCAGAGCAATATTATATCATCGCATTTCAGATGTTATTATTGTCATTGCGATATCCAGATTTTTTTGTCACAGCGGACAGCATAGCTGTCTCATGCTTTGTTGTGTCAGATATAGATGGGTAAATCTAGAGTAAGGTAATCTCTTTAGAAATCAGAATGATTTGACCTGTGAGCTCAACAGTAGTATCTCCTGAAAGACTGTTGTTAAATATTTAGCGCTCTCCCGTCATGAATACAAATGCTGTGTAAATGAGGGTCTACAGGCAGCTGACCCTGGGACTGGAGCCTGCTGAGTGGGGCTCATGCCGGCCTAAATTATTTAATTGTCATGACTTCAGCTTGTATTTAAAGGATCAGCTTTGAAATACGCCACCTGGTAAGCGACGCTCTTCACTGTCTCTTAGAGCTTTTCTACACAGTGTTTGAGAAGGACTTGGTTCGTCCACAGGGGAAAACTGGCTCTTTGTTGGTTTGACGCCACACGGTATTTCTGTTATAATGCAGTTTGCTTGTATCATCTTGAGCTGTTTACTTCATTGACACTTTTATGTGATTCAGTGGCCTTCAAAAGATTGGAAATGCACTAGGTTTCAAAGTAGAGTTCTGGACAATGTCAACATCAGTCCTTGATCAGTCTCTTGATCAATTCCGCAAACTAACTTGAAATTGTAGATGTTTGGTTCAGCACACCTTTAAAGTTTTACACATTGATTGCTTATTATGGATAGCGCATAACAGACCAGTGAGAACAGTTTATAAACAGCTCTAGTATTTCCCAGCAGCCTACGCTGGTCTTAACTTACGATTGTCTCTCAGCCAGGTCATGTTGTGTTTAGCTGGTTTATCCCAGCAAGACCAGCTGAAAGTGATCAAAACCTTTCAAGACTTAAATTGTCAAAACCATTGTTCTGCTGTTTAGTTGCTGTTTTCAATAGAATCAGTTAAGTCCATGATTCAATGACTCATTCGCCAGATCAGCTGTGTGAACAACTCTGTTGAATAAATGACTCAGTGACTCACCTATTAAGACATTGACTGCGTCCAAAATCACATACTGTGAGCAAGTACTATATGTTTTGCAACCTTAAAGTACTTTCTATATGGCATGCAAATGGGTAGTGTGAGTGAAATTCATGCATACACTACATCCGCCATTTGAACATTGTCATGTAATCTGCCAGCATCAGTTGCATTCATAAACCCTCCGAGTGTCCAAATGGAAAAAACGTCACTGAAGAAACATTTACAACAAAATACAGTCTACAACACTGCATATAGCTTTTTAAATGTTGGCTTTTTTATGTATTGTCACGTTCTCTGTATTCAGTAGTTCAGTCAACGTTTGTCTGACAAAATGTAATTGTTTGCAGTATGCTGAAGAACCCAATCTCTTGAATGGCACTTAATATGAAGCATAGTGTCTGCTTACAGTACGAGTGCATTCACTCATCTAAAAAAAAAAAAAAAACTCCTCTTCCTTTTGATTTTGTATTTCCCTTTAA